AAAAAAACTTAAAAATATTGCAAATGTATTTGCACAAGAATGTTATGAGTATTAATTAAAACCTTTTTTTCCCACATTCTTTTAAAGTTTGCGTATTTGTGACCTTAAAAAAATAATCAAAATCTTGGTAAACATTCCACATTACTATTTTCTCTATTAATTTTTCTTTTACATGAAGAATACAGGATGTTCAAAAATCGCGCAGTCATAGTGTACAATTTAAACTCTCATAGTTTCGGAATTTTTAGAGATAGTTTTTTTTTTAACATTTTTCTTGATGTCTTGGGCACCGCCCGATGACACAGTGTCACGGAAGGGCGCGATTTTTTGAACAACCTGTATTCCCAACTTTTTGTACGCAGGATATTTAACTATATTAGCTCAGATTTTAAATTATTGTCAAATAACCTATTTAGTGAAAATCATTAAATTCCAATATACTTCCATTAGCCGACCGTTTTTTATTTGTTTTTAATACTATCCCATATTTATTCTAATGTTTTTTTATTACTTTTCAATAAAATCAAAAGTAAATTAATAGACATACTCGTAAGTGATCAATTATTTTAAGAAAGGATTGTAAGTAAAACCATAATAAAAAACTAAAATGTTATTTACTGAAATATTTTCAATTTAAACTGAGTTAAAACAACTGCCAGCCTTACATTTTGGAGAAAAGTTTGTGATTTTTACAGTCTACTCTCAGAATTCAAATGGAGTAAAAACAACTTTAGTAAGTTCACAAAGTATTGCTGCGTTGCTTTCATTTTCAGACCGAGAAAAAGTTAAAACATCTGACACAAAGTTCTCAATGGGCACTAATAGGGTGAGAAATGTAGGTCGAGCAAGCGCATTTAAACCGTAACCTCCTGAGACCTTACACACTCTCGTAACCAATCACCTTATTCAAGAAAACTAAAAGAAAAAACAAAATAAAAACCAAAACAAAACTTAATAATAAGAAAAAAGACTTACTCTGGAATTGAAAATATCATTTTGGATACGCGTTTGGTCGTTGACACTTCCAAAAAAAAAACTGGTTGTTATCAACCCTTTCAAGTGCCCTTTTGGGCTATCTCGAACAAACCGAACGGCCCGACATTCGCGGCTAGAATGATGCAACTCAGAAGTAACACAAGAATATCTGTACATTCACAACCCCTAACATGTCGCAAAATACCACAAGCATTTTCATTGGCGATGACGAAAAAGAGGGGGAAATGAGGGGGTTGGGATTACGGCATTTCTGCCAACTAGAAAACAGGAAAATCGGCGCCAAACTGTCGCGTCAGTTAAATGTTCCTCAAACTATCCATTACAAACTAGGATGGGTTTAATTTGATTTACAGAAGCGAAAGAGGCTACGCCAAGAAAAAAAAAATTTAAAGACAAAAACTAAAGTAAGCCGCTGATTTGTTTACCTTTATAGCAGACTTTCACGGTTCCGGATTTCCCTGAAACAAAAATGAATTTAAAAAAATTATTCGCTGGGAAATAAAAAAAGAAATAAAATTTCATCTACTGGGTATTATTAAACTTTGAGAGTTTATGGACAGTCGCAATTACAGTTTTAAATTTTACATCCACTTTCTAGGGGAGGATCCTCTGTTACAATTAACTCCGAATTTGATATCATTGTTTGTTTTTGTAACCGTTTATATAGAAGACATTGGGAGATGTCAAAATTATAGTAAACAACCCCCATGTTTGTAAACATTATAACACCACTCTTTCCACAGTTTTTGATAGAAAGTGATATTTTCTGTACACAATTTCAATTTCCTTTTTTATTATTTGAAAGATATACAACCAACTTAACACTGCTGTATAAGCGGTAAACTTAGATGTTCCAAAGTTTACCACCAACTTGCCTACTACATTTGTTTTTAGTTTTAAACCTTTGTTTTGTTTTAAAACACAACTCATTGTTCGTAGCACAATTACTAATAATAGAACCGCCAATAAAACTTTTGCATGGTTTGCAGAGTTCGCTGTGCTAATTTATTAATTCCGTATGAAATTTTAGTGAAACCAGAAAATAAGTATTTACTACAAGTTAGTATCTGATTTTGTGGAAAAAAATTGACACAGTACAGCCTGTCCCAAGTTTTAGGGCCGGCCCAATAATTAATATTTCTAACTTATTAAAAAACTTTTTTGTTAGTGCAAACGATAGAGGATTATACAGACTTCAATTTAATGTTTTGATATCAAAATTTTGAGCGTATGGCAGTGAGATCATAAAAACTAAATTTGAAAAAAAAAATTCACTTAATTGGAATAATTTCTACATGAAAAAATTCCTTTACTTTTCTAGTACTAATTGTGAAAATTGTGCAAAAGTTGATAGGTTTTGAGTAATTAAACATTTTAATATTTACTTAAAGTAAAATTCAGATTTCAATAATAATATCAACTAATTTCAACATAACGTGCTCCCTTTCTAAAAAGTACATTTTTCTGTTAATCTACTTCTTCATATTTTTCTGGTCTCTTACTCTCATTTGCTTCTTTACTTCAAAAGGATAATGCGTAAGTTTTCAAGTTCTAAAATTCATACAATCTATGTATATCAGATGGAAGAAAAAGTTGAGAAGGAACAATACCTGTGAAGAAGTTTTAGAGAAGTCGATTCATCGGACCAGAATGTTTGAAAATCGAGTTTGTTTTCAAAATAATTTTTGGTAATTGTTGATAATAATTAACAATTTTGTCTCATTATATTCGTGTACAACCGCTTTAGGGAAAAAATACTGGAAACTAGCAGGTTATGTCACCCACATGACAGGTGTCAAAATTACAGTAGACCAGCTATTTTTTAAAGTTCTGGGCAAATTGGTATTATTTTTGTAACCTAGCAACGGATATAATTTTTCAATCATTCCTTGAAGTGCGCTTCTGGGATTGGTGGATTTAAGAGTCTAATAACTTTCTTATGCAAGCAAAAATTACTTCTTTGGATGCACTTTCTGGCGATCTATTGCCGCTGGCACTTGACATTTTTCTCTTGAGCGCGAGTTGTGGCGCACCCTGTATAATCCTCTATCGTTTGCACGAGCAAACAATTTTTTTAATCAAATAGAAATATTTATTTTTGGACCGGCCCTAAATCTTAAAAAAATAAAATTGAGTAGATGTATCCGGTTTTCCGGATATTCCCATTAAAGTGTATGTTCTCGGAAGTAACTGTTCCAAATTTTATAATATTTGGTCAAATGGTTACTAGCTATTAACATACCTAGGATGTAATGAATGTCATAACAGCTGCAGATGTCAGTTTGAAATCCGAGCGAGTAGCGAGGATTTTAAGACATCTAAGGCTGTTATGACATTTGTCATTTGTTTGTTTAAGATTTTATCGGTTTCTGTCGAATAAGCCAAAAATTGGAACAAATTAAATCCAAAAATTCTAGGTTGTAATGACAGCTGCAGATGTCAGTTTGAAATCCGGGCGAGTTTATAATTTTACAATTTCGATGTGTCAGTAAAAATGATATATCGATATGTAAAATTGACATTTCAATATTGTAAAATTTTACAGCAATCAATAAGGTTATGCCATAGTTAACAGATTATTTTTGTGCATGTCACATTGCTCTTAACAAACAAAAAGCGATAAAAAATTATTATAATAAAAAAAAATTTCATACCCACATTCCGAGGGCTGTAAAATTCTTATCAGTAGAGATAGGACACGAGTTATCATTTTTATAGGTCATTTTTGAGGTTCCAATATTGCTTCATATTTATTAATTATTCTGTACCTATACAGGATGTGTCAGAACTCACGCCTCAGAAAAAAATTTCAAGTAAGATAGGGTATCAGGAACATGGAAAAAATGTTTAAAAAATTCTGTCAAAAAAATTTGACATTTGACATGTTTTATGTCTATTTAATAATATCGATGATCTTGTATATGTTTTTTATAATTATTAGTAAAAGTACAAAAATGTTGCCAATAAAAGCCATAAATAACATTAAACAGAATTACAAACAATTTAGGATACAAAACTGAACCTCTCATAACTTCAAAATTTTAATAGATAGAATTTTTTTTACAATTTTCCATGTTCCGGGTATCTTACCTTCCATGGCATTTTTCTCTGAGGTGCGAGTTCTGTCGCACCCTGTATTTTTTTTTAAATTCTTAAAAACGAAATCTAAAATAATCAGTAATATATTTTTCAAGTTATCATAAAGTTAGCCGGAGTAATTACTGCCTAAAGGACGAAGTTAAAAATATATCTTATAAAAATAGATGTGTAGCTAAATTTAAACCAAAAATCGTCAATTAGTCATTTCATTAGATTAGTTTAATATTTAGAATTACGAATCAATCAAAATATTTTGAGTTCTGGATCAATTTTCGAATAATTCGAATGCAAAATTATAACAAATTTAGAATCTTCAAAAAGTTTATATCCGCTGCCACAATTTCTCAATAATGTTTTCTTCACAGATTTATGTATTGTTACTGCTTAAACACTAATAAAACAACATCAGTCATAAACTGGATAAAAATCCACATTTTGATTGGGAAAGAGCCAAATATCTATAACTCAGTATTGTGATATCATCGTTTTGCTATAACTTTACGTTGAAGCAACGACTGAGAAAATATAAAATCGAAAAATTCTTAAAAATGTAAAAATAAACATGTTTCCATATCCAAGATGATTCTTTTAGGGCCTATATTAGAAACTTTTTAACTTCTAATGCAGATAGAAATTTGAAATTTTGTACACAACTCAAATCGACCAGTCTAAGTTCAATTAAATTATTTTCAAAATGGCTGAACTTCCGGAAATACGAGAAATTGGCGCCAACTTTGAATTTTTAAATAGTAACCACTTATTTTTATTGTATTTTTGAATTCTCCTCTCCAAACTGAGTAAAATATACCTAGTTGTTAGTACTTATCTGTCATAGTTTCTGACATATGTCAATTTTTTGCTCAAAATTTTTATTTGCAGAGGTTTATTAAAAACATCACAGCTCTTGAACCGTTTGCGATAAGTGAATAATTTTTTTTGCATTCAATAACCAAAGGTTCGAAGAGTTTCCTAAAATTTTCAAAATTGTCAACTGTAAAATTGCAAAGCTTATATGATTTTTTGAAAATGTTATTTAACAAACAGCTATAACTCAGTTTTTAGAAGGATTTTTATCAACATGTCCTATATCCATCTCTTACAGTTTCTGAAATAAACACGAAAAACGTGTTGTTTTTTTTTTATTTTTATAGTAATTAACGTAGGCTTTGGAAAATGATCAATACGTATTAAAGATTTATTAGTCTACACAACACCCATCCGGAATTACGAAGAATTGAGGCAAGGATTGAGGCGGCATTTAATAATCTTCAACCAAATAAAATAATGGAAGCCACTCAATTCAGTTCACCATCGAGTTTTGTACTGTTTGAAAATGATATCGAACATCTGTATTAATTATGGTATATCTTTATTGTATTTTTCCAAAGCCTACGTGATTAACTATAAAAATAAAAACATTAACATGTTTTTTGTGATTATTTCAAAAACTGTAAGAGATAGGTGGACATGTTGATAAAAGTCCTTCTACAAATTGATATACTTTTGATTGCCGTTGAGAAAATAGAGTCATTTCATTTCAAAAAACTGAGTTATAGCTGTTTGTTAATGATCATTTTCAAAACATCATACTAGCCTTGCAATTTGACAGTCGACAATTTTGAAAATTCTAGGAAACTTTTCGAACTTTTGGTTATCAAAAACAAAAAAAATATTCACTTATCGCAAAGGGTTCAAGAGCTGTGATGTTTTGAATAAACCCCTGCAAGTGAAAATTTTGACCAAAAAATTGACATAGGTCAAAAACTATGACAGATAAGTACTAACAACTAGAGACATTTTACTCAGTTTAGACAGGAGAATTTAAAAATGCAATAAAAATAAGTGGTTACCATTTAAAATTTCAAAGTTGGCGCCAATTTCTCATAGTTCCGGAAGTTCAACCATTTTGAAAACAATTTAGTTGAACTCAGAGCGGTTGATTTGGGTTGTGTACAAAATTTCAAATTCCTATCTGCATTCTAAGTTAAAAAGTTTCTAATGTAGGCCCTAAAAGAATCGCCTTGTATGCAAACTGTTGATTTTATAATAAGATTTCTTTTCACTCGATGAACGCCTCTGACCTCTTACTAAGTTCCTTTAATTGACAACATATTGATCTCTAATTCTTTTATAATATAAAGTGGATCAAAATTTATTGCACGAATAAGTTATTATTTTCGTTAAGACTGTATTGTGCTTCCCAGTGGTTCAATTATATTCCCATTCATTAATTAAATGCCTATTATGCATGCAAAGCATTTAAGCCCCAAAATAATTCATTAAGAACAGCCCTTGCAATTTAAATTTGGCGCCCTACAGTTCGTGATTGTACCCTCTGCAGTAAAAAAATCTATCCTCT